TCCCCGTACACCGTTGGGGTTAAATTGGCCTTTTATCCACATAATTCTATTAAGCTCTCCCATCAACGGTTACAGTATTGAAAAGATCTTACTTATTTTCGAAATGCATCGTTTTATACGTAAGCAATTTTTATTGATTATACCACAGTTATTGCATACATATACATCAAAAGCTTTAAATTCTAAGTTATTATTGCATATATCTACATATCAAAAGCTTTAAATTCTAGTTATTATTACTTATTCACAAAAAACCAATAAATAATATTAATTATTATTAAATATTATTAAATAACTGCAAGTAATCAATCTCAATTACACATCGTTCATTCGAAAATGAGTACATTAACAATATTGTTAATGTGAAAAATTATTTATTTTGTAATACAAATGGCATTCTCAGGCACCTATCTAAATGGGCACAACAAAGAATCTAATTGAGATAGGTGTTTGAAAACGCATAATGTAAAATTGTGAAACGTTACAAATTTAAATTATGTGAAACGTTAGAAGCTTTTTTCAGCAAAATATCCACTTAATATATTTACGTACGTACGTACGTACGTAATGTAATTTTCTGGCTTAATGGACTATACTTCTATCTACATAACAATATTGGTAACTAAACCATTAAAGGTTTTCTACCTTACTATATTAAGTGATTATTATATTAAGTGATTATCATAGTACACTCTCCAAATTTATTTATACAGCACGGTACTGCTGAAGAAGCCATAAACTCAACAAATCCACTGATCAAATATAAATACCAGTTATATATCAGTTACCACTGTACGTAAAACTTACCAAATCCATTGTTTTGTTGACATTACAGTAATATAAATATCAGTTATCACTGTACATAAGTGGTATTTCTAATACGGAAATTTACTCTAATTGCATTGATTTAAATTTCGACGATGATAATTTTACATCATGTCAAGAACAAACATGCCTGTTCGGTGCTAATACTAGCAAGCATATATTGTTATGGACTATTCTTCGGTATAACCACTCTTTTTTTTAGTAAAATTGAACCTTTAAATTGCACTCTTGGCTTTGATAATATTTATGTCCTTAGTCTCGAAAAGAGAGCAGATAGGCGTGCACTAATGGATGAATTAGGACAATTTCATGGATTATGTTTTGATTATTTCAAAGCTGTTGAGTCAGATGATATGGAAGTTAACAGACTTAACCAGAGTTGGAACCTCTATGGATTTCCGGGAATAAAAGCCTGTTATTTAAGCCATTATCATATCTATGAATCGATTATCAAAAATGGATATAGTAAATCATTGATTTTAGAAGATGATGTAGATATGGAGCTTGACCTTTTCGATATTATGTCTAATATTCACCTTATTTTACCTAACGACTGGGAGATTCTTTATCTTGGACATTGTCACGAATGGATAGATGACACCAAAATTCTTGTTAGTGGTTTATCGACTAATCATAAATTACACACTGCTGTACACCCACAGTGTACACATGCTTATGCAATTACGGCCTCAGCTGCCAAAAAGTTATTAGAAATTCTTGATATCGATCACACTTACGCTGACGCAGCTATTGATGTAGAGTTGGCCGATCTTATTCTAGACAAAAAGTTCATTGCTTATGGGGTTCATCCACAGATTATAACTCAATGGAAAGCTAAGGATGACATGTCAGATACTGTACCTGAACCTGATGCTGTAGACAAAATTTATACTTTGACAAATTCCACCTTAGAAATTCTCGGTTTTAGTCGAGGATGGTCATAGACAAAAATGATTTGTCTCTGGTTGTATCATATAATGGAATTCATATATTTACTAGAGTTTAATTTTAAGAATTAATTTCTTGCTTAAGCCTTTTGTATTATACACTAATATATTCTTGCGTAATAGTTTTATTTAAAATTTATTATTACTAGGTTAATTACTAGGCTAATTACTAGGTTAATTACTAGGTTAATTACTTGGCTAATGTGTAGTATTCTAATGTGATAAATATTATATTTGGAGTCTAACAGAGAGTCAATATAGACTTAAAAATGTTAAAATATAGACTTTTGATTCTCGACATTATGAATAGTTTATGTAATATTCGAGACACTAATAAATAATTAAAAAATAAAAACTTTTGATTCTCGACATTATGAAAAATAATTAGAAAATTAGACATGTCCTCAAGGGTATACTATATCAAAAACATTGCTTTCTGTTGTAACCTTCTGGTGACCTCGCTCGATTACTTTCGATCATGAAAATTCCGTAAACCCATCAAACTTTGAAATCTATAGTAATCGGTTTTGAAGTCCTGAATCTAAAATGATAATATCTATGTACAAGGGTAATACAAAAGCAAATCTGATCACACATAAAATTATTGCTTTCTTTAAAAAATCGATTATAACTCAAAATTTCGCTTATGAAACCACCTTTCGGGTATTTATAAAAAAATTTCTTGCGAAATTTTGGTATAAACCGTCTTTTTATACGAATTATTTTGATTTGCACGTTAGACAGATTTGCAAATTACGATATAAACTAAGAAATTTTCAACTACATAAATTTTGATAAATAGATATAATCTTCAAAAAACATCTTTTCATCTTTTCATCATAGCACCTTAAGAATATTTGATTTTTATTTCCAATATCACAATATGCTCTTTCACCTCCCTGTAAGAAAAGTGGCATGTGTGATGTCCCATGCCATTACGGTCTACACATGAATTTTGGACCGCAAATGGACCAGATTTTGCAGCAGCTTACTAAGCCAAAATGCACGTATTTTGGCACGTTCACTAAAATAACGGAAAGGCACGGGATAGAACACCATGATTGACATGTGAGGTATGGGATGGTTTTTTTCCCGTGCCATTTTTGGCACGTTTACCCGTAAATTTTGGACAGTAAATGGACCAGATTTTGCAGCAGTTTACTAAACCAAAATCCACAGATTTTGGCACAGGTTTTTGGCACATTTTTCTACGGAAATTGCAGTGAAGGAACAGTGTGGAGGTACGTAATGGTTGTATTTCCCATGCCATTTTGGACTGTACTACATGCCACTTTTTCTTACAGGGCATCTCTATGAGAAGATGTCATCAGATTGGTGATATCCTATTGTAGCGCAGTAGTCAGATAAGCTCTCAGTAGTGTATTATCTTAATTGTTCATACTTTGCTAGCGCAGCCAGTCACTTGTAGGCATTATAGTAACTACAGTTATATAAAAAGCAGCTGCAGAGTGTTAGAGCAACAGATTTATTGTCATAATCTATTATCTTTGAGTAATAAGTTATAGTTTTCATGAAACAAAACATTAATAAATATTATTATTGGTGCAATTGCCTAAGTTAAAAAATTTTATTTTTTTTTATAATTTAATCATGTTCTAATACTGTTTATTTGAGATTTGAACTATTCTAAAAATTACAAAAATATTATCTGTAATTACTATCTATCTAACCTAACAGATAACTTACTCAGCCTGTAAAGTTAAATGTACCTTGTTTTAATAGTTTTTTTTACTTTACTCTGGGCTCTAACTTACTAAAGGCTTGAATCTTTTGGTTATTAGCAGATACTACATACTATGTTAGTATTAATTTTCTTTTTGTAATAATAAAGTATAATCACAAATTTAAAGAAAAAAATATAAAAAAAAGAAACACTTAACATCAAATTTTGATCTATTTAAGCAAATAAAATTAAATGAAATAAATAATGAAGAAGTAAAAAAAAAACAAAAGAAAAAAATAACACTATTAAACTTATATAAATTATAAAATTATATAGTTCTACTAAATAGACTAGTCTAATCTCTATATTAACTATTTATATCTATTTAAAATATAAAAACTTTATCAAAACTATTTATTTTTAAATAAAGATTTAAGTTTAAAAATTTTATTATATTTCTAGCCAAACTTCTGTAATATAAATTAACTAAGATTCTTATATTCTAAACCATATTTCTAACTTAAGTCAAGTTTTTTTATTTATAAAATATTAAGAAACAAATAATTATTTATATATATCTCTTTTTTTATATTTAAGGGTAGGGTGTACAAATTTCCAATTTCATATAAAATAGATTGTACATCAACTTTGTGTATATGATATCAT